TTCAATTTATTCCGTGTAAACTTTTACAGAATTCCTTTAGAATTTCCTGAGACAAATAAATATTACCGAACAACCAAAACTTCCTGACAATATGCATGTGTGTCAGCTGAAGTCACAATTTGATTATTGCATGGTATAGAAATCAATCAACATTTTGAACCCGTGATAATACCCATTAAGAAAGATCTGTTGACAGCAAGTAGCGCAAGAGATCGCGAAGGCTTGCTCAGAGTCCACACGTCCAGCTAGCCTTTTAGCCTTACATTTTAGGTTCTCGTATTTTGACGCTATATGACACCACCTTTGAGAAAGTCTTTTTGATGACCTATGGTGACAGAACCTAAAATGAGAGAGATATATAGTGTAGTTCGCTGCGGGCTGTTGGGCGTGTCAGGTGGGATGAGTTTGGAGCGAAGCCAAACCCGTACTCCAACAGTTGACAAAGTGAGCAATGATATGACTGTATCACATTGTTCGTATTACTCTTTTATGCCACTTTTTGTCGCATGCTCGCTTCAACAAGAAGGCTAAGAACGGCTTTGAGGGAGTGTCACACTCGCACTGCCTGCCCAACCGTCCGCAATTAACTCACTTTATGTGGATTCCGTAGACTAAGCAAACAGCATATTTAAAAAAGGTCACATTCACAACTCCACACTGAATTCACTGGACATGTCATCCGGATCACTGTCATCAGATAACATGTCTAATGGGGCAAAAGCATCCTCATCGGCAACATTGCTGTTGTTTTCATCCAGAGCATCTTTCATCCGAGCTGAATCCTCCTCCTCTAACGCTGCTCTGCACCATCCCTCGCAGTGGCTCCTTGTTACACCCTCTAGAACGTCTAGGGCCCTAGTTCTCACCTGAACAAAGATCTGGTATCAAACGGCCACCTTTTGCAAGTGTTAAAAACGTTCCAGAAATCTCTACCGTCTCTAGTCTATCCGTGGGTCTTCCCAACTTATTCAGGCGGTGCTTTAGATAGCTCCAGCACAGTTCCACTGGGTTGAAAAAGCAGTGGAATGGAGGAAGCCTGAGTAGGCTTACCCCCATATCTTCACATATGCTCTCAGCAGCGAAACAGCGTAAAGCTGCTCTACCGCCTCGACTGGCGACGAAGTCTTCGAGCTAAAACAGCATCTAAGGTGGAGTCAAGTTTACTTTTGTATAACGTCGAACCTCCTCTACTACGGACGCTTTTTCACTATCGATCGCCACTTCGACTCCATGGAAGCTGAGGAAGCTGATGATCTCTCGCTTAGTGGAGTGTCTGGTCGGAATCTTATAAACAAACATGTCGCGTTTTTTTCTTTTATTCATTGCTTGACTAAATCTCACCTTCTCCAGTGCTCTTGTGTGATAAGGGGCGTTGTCGAGCACTAGCGTAACATTCCGTCCCGCCGCAAATTCCTTCATGAGGGGGATGGACGATTCCAACCAATTCTCGAACATTATGTGGTCCATCTCGCGGGTGGAATCGTGGTGCATAGTGCGGTGTCTATCCACGAATACATGGGTGCAGCCGGGTACGATCCCATCCTCACTCATGGCCGTCATAACAATACCGCGCCTCCCCTTGTTCTTCCCAGCAGTCTTACCGCAAGAATACCGCTGTATCTCAGCAGCGGTGGGAAAGCGCGACATGGTGTTGTCTGACCAACCTCTCCTCTTTACCATCCCGGCGAACACCCACGTCTCGTCCATGTAAACTATGCAGTCCCCTCTCCTCCTGGCTTCCTCAATTTTCCTCAAATATAGGGACCGCTTCTTGGCAAGATCCGAACGTTCGAAAATATAGCGTTGTCCCTTGAGGATCTTGTATGAAAAGCCAAGGCCTTTCACAAGCCTCCAAAGTGTCGTTGACGAGTAAGTGAAGTCCGGATAAGCCATCATCATTTCCTGCCGCAACTCGAGGATCGTGACGTCCTTCTGTCCTTAAAGGCACATTCCGCGATAAAATAAGGCTATGACCTCTCAAATGTGTCGGACGATCCGGAAGGCGATTTTTGAGGCTGCGCTACTTTCAAAATGTGAAAAACGGCAGAACTCCGCTAGAAGCTGACTAATTAGGCCCATGGACACCCCTTAGGCCCATGCCGACCCTCACCGGCTGCTAGCTACTAGCTAGTAGCCACTATGTTATCTTTCTCTATAACATTTCGGACTGCTTTTTCTGCTGCTTTTCTCCGCTAATCAGATACTTAGCACTTTTTGTGCCTATTTGAGTTCCGTTTCCCGCAATTTGCGGTCGCGAACTGTGCCTTTAAGCATCCAGTGACAGCCGCGCGCTCGACCTCGCTCGCATCCCAAATTGGACAAGGTCACGCGGTTACATAACCGCTTGCTTTCGCGAGAGCAAACTCTTGCGAGCTGACGTGCGTATCGCAGGGTGGACCGGTGTGTGTGGTAAGCCTTTTTCGACCAATTCTGTAGCCTGACAAGCGACCACGCCCTCGGTTTCGGGCTCAATACGCGGCGTTTCTCAGAGCTACTTGCTTCATTACTAACGAACATTTCAAGCGAAACAGCTTGAAATGCTGTGCAGAGGCAAGCATTACTCTGAGCACGTTGTTCAGCGACTGGTCTTGTCATCCTCAAGCTCCTGAAAGAATCTATCCTACCTCAGTGAAAGTGATAGCGTACCAATTACGCTTCGAAATCTACTGACCGTAACGTTTGTACGGCGTACTTCTTCACTCGGTTGCTTGAGCAGAAGAGATCGAGCGATAGAGGACTGGAGTGACTCTTATTTTTAAGGAGTGCCACGATTTTCGAAGCAAGAACTGAACTTACGAAGTCACGTGATCCGCTCATGATGCAGAAAAAGAGGCTCGGCTAAAATGAAAGCGTTCCAATATTTTAGGATGCAAAAAAGCAATGCAACTTAGAGATTTGATACCATGCAATAATCAAATTGTGACTTCAGCTGACACACATGCATATTGTCAGGAAGTTTTGGTTGTTCGGTAATATTTATTTGTCTCAGGAAATTCTAAAGGAATTCTGTAAAAGTTTACACGGAATAAATTGAAACTGTGAGGGAGGAGCACAGCACAAGTAGCAGCCACAGCATCATGCAGTCATTTGAATTAGAAGCATGCATGTTAGCAACATAAAGACGCAACAAAACGAAGGACTAGATGAGCAATTGTGAAGCACAGCAACGTTTCACGGCACACAATCCAGCTACCCAACAAGGGAACATCCATGCAAATTGAACCGAAATCGTGCAGTTTCTGAAAAACAATGCACTGGGATCTTAGAGACTGCTACAAAGCAACTAAAGCAAAGGCAGGGTAATATAAAATTGACTGCACTACCTCAGACAGTGACTATGGAAGTGAAGCGTCATCCGGTGTGAGGAAAAGCACCGCGCATCCTTGAAAACAGACAAGTGCATCCACAGAATATAATAAATTGTCGTTAGCAATAGTCTGTATGTAAATGTTAGAAAAAATTGCAAAAAAAAACTAAAAGCTCGAAGCTACTCACCACAAAATCGGCCCACAAGTAAGATGTGCCAGGCGAAGCGCTAGTAAAAAACTGTCCATACAGGCGATCTCGAGCTTCAAAACAGTATCAAAGAGTGTTCTTGGCATGTAACGGAACACTTCAAAGATAATGTAGTGAGCACCGAGTCATCAAAAAAAGGTAGGAACAAAGCGGAGTTTGAAGTGAGCCAATGAAGCAGGAAAAACGCAATGCCGGTTTCAGCACACCTGGAAGTCGCAGTCGCGTAATTCACGTCCAACGTTAGCAAAATAGCGGTTCACTGTTAGAAGACGAGAACAAGACGCAGATACGGGGACAGAATCTAAAAGGAAATAAGGGTCAATAACATAAAAGAAGTGGGGGAAAATAAGGAAAGTTTGGGAGAATTGAGAAAATCAGAAGGAAAAAAAATGTTTTCTAGGGGAATTTCAAGCTAATTTCATGCAAACTGTGATAAAATTTTAGTATAGTATACCTTCAACGATTGAAGTCGAAAGTCGAAAAATCGCAGTTTTTTCAAGCAGAATACGGCAGGGATTTGGAGAAAATGCGGCGCGAATCAGCTGATCGACAGCGTCAGCCAGTATTGATCGGCGAGAGCGCAGGACGGAAGAGTGAGTAGAGGGCGCGGCGGGGTGTGTTAGAGCAGAGTCTGTGTCAGAGACGCAGGGGCAATGATGATGATTTGGAATTTCTCGGCTTTCCATCGACACGCAATCAGCGGAACGCTCGCCGGCGTGGTCGTAGGGAACGCCCCACCGTCCGGTGAGCGCTCCACTGTACCCCACCTGCTTTCGTACGTTCAAAAGCACGACAGATACCCGGCTTTCTGTCATCTCTGCACTTCATCAATGGTCCTTACCATAATGTCATGCACAGTAATAGTGTTGAAAATAGCAGGTATGATGTTATTGGTCAAGGAGCGTTGGTTATCTGTTCAGAGAAAAGAAGCCGCATATCAGTTGGGTATATAAACATGTGAAAGAAGGTAAGCGCGGCGAAGCCGGCCGTATCACAGAAGGAGGCGCGCCGGCGTCAGCCGGCGAGCCGACTGGTTTTGTATAAGGTGATTAAGATAGATTCAGATCGATTATGGCAGGACGAACGTAGGCCTGAAAAGCTTTATTGGACTTCCATCTTCCCATCTGCATAACCTGAGAACTATCAAATCCCTGCTCTAAGGCCGTAGATGCTGCACCCCCTCTAAACCTATGCGTGGTACAGCGTTTATGACCCCATTACTTTATCTGCTTCTATTTGTAGTCCGAAAAAAGTTATGTGCTGCCGACATCATTGATAGCGAGATTCGCTGGCTGTTGTTAATACAATACGCCAAGAAAAGGTTTCCAAGCTTTGGATATATATAGGTAACACTACTGTATCATTTTCTATTGTGCAGTGTGATTATTCTAGCTACCATTTAAAATGTCGGAGAACAGAGCAAGTGCACTTGAGGAAATATTTCGATCTGCTTACCCCCACGTGTCCAGGTATGAACCCGTGCTTCAGAGACTGTGTGGCGACACGTCGCCCATATTGTCACTTGACTTAAGCGTCAGCCGAACTGAAATTCATCCATGGATTCCAAAAACGTACGAGTTGGCTATTAAGTTGTATGACATGATACTATTGTGTATTTTAAACCAACAACACTCCCGATTTGTGTCTTTCTGTGTCAAATCGGGAACCTTGATTTTGATGGCTTTCTGTTCGCGATGTATTGATCTCTACAATCATCTAGTTGAGAAAAAACAAGAATGGATTCTAGAGGATTTCCCAGCAGAGTCGCTCAAACTTCTTGATGCTGGCTTGAAGGCCCCAACGGAACATGTGGAATTCGAAGTATCCCATTTAGAAGGCCTAATACTAAGCTGTTTTGCGATTGCTCGAGCTGACCATCAAAGGCTCCAACATTCCACTGCACTTAATCGCATCAAAACATCTCTTGTCGTAGCTTACAATTACACTGTTGAAGAGGCTGACCAGCACTCGTCATTCTTCATGAACTGCTTCGACAAGTATATGGTCGACTTAGGGAATGGAGTTAAAGGCCTTAGCGACTGTGATTACGTATATAAACGCCTTATCTTATCTGTCATTATGGCCTCTCCATCGCCAACAGCCGACTACGGTAAGAAGATACGATTCGCAGTTCGGAAACATGGGCATGGCATCGGATATCTTACAATGATTTCTCAGATATGAATAGAAACTCTACAGTTGTTCATTATAAAGCAAGTATTTCAGGCACGAAGATTGATCAATATGTTGATGAATTGATAGTTGACCAGGCATCGGATCAAGTAGTGCCGGCAACTGTTCCTATCATATATACTTATCTTGCTGCTTAATAATTTTAGCCCAGCTACAATCCGATTTATCGCCGCAATGTTGCACCCTGTTTTTACTGTTTCGCATGAGTCGATCAGTGATGCACGATAGCAAAGTCTGCCGAGGTATATTAAAACCGTGATGACTATAACGGGAGAAGCTGACTAGATATGTGCTCTCTGTCAGCATTGCCACGAATTACGCCGGTCCTAATGCCCCTATGGAGAAAATTCAGTGAAGATAATTCAAGTTTAGGAGTCGCCTTAATGTGATCAAGTCTTAGCAGGGAAAACCTGCGATTACGAAAGATCTCGTCCGGCTCGAGATTTAAACACAAATGATAATTTCTGGAGTAGCCATCTCAGAAATTGACTCCATGAGCTATCTGGCTCTATACCAGATAGCTATGCCACTCTTATTAAGTTCGTAGTTGAGATTACTGTTGAGTGTTTAGTTTTGAGTAGAGGTTAGCTTTGATAAAAGCATCGTTGCGATATAGGAACATTTCTGAGATGTTGTGCTTCCCACCAGCGAATACTTTTGCGGGTCACGTGCGGCCATGAGGGAAACGGTGTCCAATTCTGAAGCGATCCATCTTCTGACCCGTGTGGTCTACTATACAGCTCTAGATTGCTTCCTCCCAATTATTTGGTGGTTCGGGGCATTTCTATCGCTGGCTGTGCATATAGTCGCTGCTCTTCCTAGGTGGTCCTGAATAACATCAATGGATTAGAATCGAGCGTGCGCAGCAAAAATACGATGAGAGACACCATTGCCGGGCATCCTGATTAAGCAGTGCGATACGAAGCTAGACTTCCTTCATAGATGTTGTTCTAGGTAACAACAATCTTGATGTCGAATTCATCTTCATCTTTACTGTACGAATAAGCTTCGACTTAATTTGACCCAATACCGTCAACAACATCAATTGGCGGTATAAACGATTGATCCGGTCAGCAGCATGTTTACGCGTACGAGCATGGTATATTCTAAAAAGGACTATACGCTCGCGAATTTACTCCACTTATACGGAGGTGTTCCGCCGACCAAGATTTTAGACAGTTGGAAGTTAA